CGAAACGAAAAGCATTGTTTACAAGGCGGGATAACAACAAATGACAGTCAAGACATGAAAGAGTGCATCCGCATTACGGCAAACAGATTCAAAGAGAGGTATGGGAAAAAGAAGTCGTTTAACAACGAAAGGGAAGGACTATACAATAAAATGGTCTATATTATAAAGCGTGCCCAGCTTATTCGGCAGGCGGAAAACACTGTAGGCTATGTACGGAGGAAAAGAAAGTTGTGCCTTTTAAAGGCAAAGAAAAGCCTTAACGAAGATCAGAACTTTCGCGAAATGCCGCCATGCAGAAAAATTCCACGCGGGAAAATTCACGAGCGCGTACGAAACCAACGGACACGCGCGTGCGTTAAAAAACCGTTAGTGAGTAACGTCACCAAACTGAACTGAACTATGAACAGTTGCCTGATGATTGCAAGAAGCATGAAACTTTAAGTAGCAGCTAATACTGTTTTAAGATGAAATAAATAAATATATATATATATATATATATATATATAATATATATTATATATATTATAATATATATAATGTGAGCTGGGAAAGGGACAAATTTGCATTCTTAGGTTTGAATATGCCCGTCAAGGGTGAGTATAGTAAACACGGAGAAATTTTGCCTATATTATCACCTGTGTTGCAAATGGAGCAAATCATGTTTAATAATAATATATATATATATATATATATATATAATATATATATATATATATAATATTATATATATTATTTATTTCATCTTAAAACAGTATTAGCTGCTACTTAAAGTTTCATGCTTCTTGCAATCATCAGGCAACTGTTCATAGTTCAGTTCAGTTTGGTGACGTTACTCACTAACGGTTTTTTAACGCACGCGCGTGTCCGTTGGTTTCGTACGCGCTCGTGAATTTTCCCGCGTGGAATTTTCTGCATGGCGGCATTTCGCGAAAAGTTCTGATCTTCGATTAAGGCTTTCTTGCCTTTAAAAGGCACAACTTTTCCTCCGTACATAGCCTACAGTGTTTTCCGCCTGCCGAATAAGCTGGGGACGCTTAATAATATATAGACCATTTTATTGTATAGTCCTTCCCTTTCGTTGTTAAACGACTTTATGGTTCCCATACCTCTCTTTGAATCTGTTTGCCGTAATGCGGATGCACTCTTTCATGTCTTGACTGTCATTGTTGTTATCACCGCCTTGTAAACATGCTTGTTTTCGCACTTTCCTTGGAGTGGACATTCGGTGGGCACTCTACATTTACACAATTTCTCGGAATTTTCCGCTGAATTTTCGGTTTCGCAAGAACGCGTTTATTGTGTTTCGAGATAGCCTAAATTTGAGCCTAATCGGCTACGGGGGACCAAAGGAAAATCCTAATTTTGGTCACTTGTGTGAAATATAAAAATTGGGTTGAAAATACGTCGAAATGATGCTAAACTAACTACAATTGCATTCTTTCATGAAAACAATACATTTTGAACACAAAAAATCTATCTCGAACACAATAAACGCGTTCTTGCGAAAACCGAAAATTCAGCGGAAAATTCCGAGAAATTGTGTAAATGTAGAGTGCCCACCGAATGTCCACTCCAAAAGAAAGTGCGAAACGAAAAGCATTGTTTACAAGGCGGTGATAACAACAAATGACAGTCAAGACATGAAAGAGTGCATCGGCATGACGGCAAACAGATTCAAAGAGAGGTATGGGAACCATAAGAAGTCGTTAACAACCCACAATACGAGAACGAGACGGAACTTCCAAATAGTATGGAAATTAAAGAACGCTGGGAAGGACTATGCAATAAAATGGTCTATATTAAAGCGTGCCCCAGCTTATTCGGCAGGCGGAAAACACTGTAGGCTATGTACGGAGGAAAAGTTGTGCCTTTTAAAGGCAAAGAAAAGCCTTAATCGAAGATCAGAACTTTTCGCGAATGCGCCATGCAGAAAAGTTCCACGCGGGAAAATTCACGAGCGCGTACGAAACCAACGGACACGTCGTGCGTTAAAAAACCGTTAGTGAGTAACGTCACCAAACTGAACTGAACTACACAGCCAAAAATGATCAGGTTGTCACATCAGGCGTGAGCAATGTTGTGCTGCACCCTGGGAACAGTATTGTTAAAAGGTTGTTGAATCAATGTTGATGCAATGTTGTTGTAACAAGTTGCGACAACATTGATGATTCAACAAGCTTCAATAACATTGTTAACAACACTGTTCACAGGGTGCAGCACAACATTGCTCACTCCTGCTTTTAACAACTTTTATCATTCACTTATAGTATTCTCAATTTGATTGGTTAATTTACCTGCAGTTAACTGCGTGCAAATAATACTCAGCTGCAAATAATACTCTGAGCATGCGCATTAATGTCAATTTTATAAACAATGGCGACTAAGGCGACTCGCTTTGCCGAACTGTCCGATAAAACGAACTCAAAATTGAAAATTGAGTGGTGAATGAATTGAAAATTGAGTGGTGAATGATAAAACAATTATTGAACTCGGTTCTCGCAAAATATCGTGATTTGTCGGTGGCTCGCAGATCAATTATTTGCCTCTGCCTTCGGCATCGGCAAATAATTTATCTGCTCGCCACCGACAAATCACGATATTTTGCTCGACCTCGTCCAATAATTGATAAGTATCAACATGATGATTTTTACGCGTGTATGAACAGTTGCCTGGTGATTGCAAGAAGCATGAAACTTTAAGTAGCAGCTAATACTGTTTTAAGATTAAATAAATAAATATCGCTCTACAAAAATTGTGTTGAGCACTCTTCAATCTACAACAGATAAAAAGCATTTGTTTTATATTATTTATATATATATATAATATATATATATATATATATATATATTATATATTATATATAATATATATAATATAATATATATATATATATATATATATATATATATCCAAATCCAAAATTTATCCAAAATAAATTTTGAGTTGCAACACAGGTAATAATATAGGCAAAAATGTTCTCCGTGTTTACCATACTTACCCTTGACGGGCATATTCAAACCTAAGAATGCAAATTTGTTCCTTTCCCTCACCCACACCTAGGCACTCATAATTTACACTTATATTGACATAAATTAATTAACATTTTATATAGTAGAGGTGACCTGATTGATCAGCTAAAAATTGGTTTCTTAATTTGCACAAATGTACTTTCAAAAGTGCATTATAATTTGCAATATGTTAACTTATACCCTATATTTTGGTTTTCCACCATGCACTAGCATTTATATTTTATCAGAGCTATTTGTGCAAAGGTTGGATCAAACAAAAAAGTATAGCAAAAGCAGTGAAGAAATAAAGTCCTGACCTTCAAATGTTTCTGGTCATCAGGCATAAGAGTAGAGTTCCAAGTACCCAAGCTTATCACTTGTGAGAATATTTCAGGCTAAAAGTAATGAACATGGCTGGAAGTGCTTATCTGATCATTTGAACTTGAGGTGAAATTTTTTTATTGAAAGTACTTACTTACATGCATGTACATACATGTTTCAGCATTCAACGCACCTTGGTACATCTATACATGAGATGACTATCGTATTTATGCACATATGTTAGCTCTCAACAACCGCATGTGGTTCAACACAGAGCCGTCTACGTGTATAGACATGCGCAAAGCATAGTGGCTGGCCAGAGCTAGTGCTCAAACGACCACAAGGGAAGTGAGCTTTGATGTTAACAAGCGTGGGTGGGTAGGTCCCAATGTTAACATCAATTCGAGACTATACTGGCAGTTATATAAATAATGGACGCTGGATCACGCTGTCCCTGCCTAACTGACCATAAGAAAGGCTTTGTTTCGATTTGCCTGAAATATTAAAGTTCATAAGCCTCAAAAAAAAAACATTAAGGTTTTAATTTTACAGAAAAAAATTAAGCATACATTTTCGATCAGATCAATTGGTATTAAAGGAATACCAAATGATTTTCCGTGCAGGATTGCGTGATCCATGCACGCGGGATGTTGCGAGACTTTCGGAAAGCGTGAAAATACACGAGCCGTAGGCGAGTGTATTTTCACGCTTTCCGAAAGTCGAGCAACATCCCAAGTGCATGGATCACGCAATCCTGCACGGAAAATCATTTGGTAATTGTTTTATAAAATAACTGTAGTGAAACAACGGTTAACTTTATTAAAATTAAATTTCGCGTGCAGGATTGTCTAAAACGCGTGCAGGATTGTCTGATCCTGCACGGCTATTGACCAATCACATTGCGTGTTTCACTATAGTTATTATATAAATCAATTTCTTCTCCCTGGATATTGCATTTCTCCATCACTTTCAATTCCAATTTTTTCTGGAGACAGGCAGTTTAGTACATTCATTGACAATTCTCTACCGAAACCCTGCAGCTTTTCTCCGGATAATTCGGTTTAATGAAATTTGATTAACAAACATGACATTTGCTGACAATAGTGTAGAATATATGGACCATTGGAATGAAAATCTATTTTAATAAACTTATAAAATAAATATTTCTTTATGATTCGACCACCGTTTTATCTTGATTGTAGTTTCCAGTCCCAGACCGAAAGAAGGGTTTGCACCAACATTTTTGATTGGTTAGCACAATCGATTTTTTTACAACAAGGTACTTGATTGGACTGTTTGATAGAAATGTGAAGTTCCACGACCCGTGAAAGAACATGGCGGCCAGATTAGAGTGCGATATGCATTGCTTGCTGATATTTTTAATAATTAAAGTGTGATGGTTGTTCATTGCAAAAATATTAACGATTATCGCCGCGAGAATTAAATTAAGGAGTGATTTAGGCAAAGATATTTTCGTTATTACCTTATTTTGTTCAGTTTTTACCAGTGAAGTTGACTGGTTTGTACTCACTCGGTGTTATACTGTGTAAAAGCAGTAAAACTGTGCCGTCACTGCTGTGTATCAATAATCATGGCAAGGAATCGCGTCTGCAACATTTGTGAAAAGTCAATAACTTTACATGGACAGAGTGATTTGAAAAATACAATGACTTGCTCATCCTGTAGTGACATTTGTAAGTGTCAGGGTTTTGTTTCATACCTCATTATAACGAATCACCTATATATGTGCCCAGTGACCAGTGTGGTGTGTACTAACTCACCAACATATCACAGTGTGCTGTCCAAGTTTATAACAAATACTGTTAAACATAGCATTAGATATAATGGTACCAACTGAAGGTCTGAGAAGCAGTTGTTATTGCAAAGAAATGGTGACACTTTTCAGAGTTGTATGCCCATGTTTTTTAACTGACAGCCTCCACAGGAAAACAGTTTGTTGTCAATAACTTTTTTTTCGACAACTGATAGTTGTAGACAACTAACTGCATAATCTTTCTTTCATGCAGTAATAATTTCATCCATTATTGATATTTACATTAATCATATGTGCAATCATTTGTGAGCTACAAAAATTATGTAGGGAAGGCTAAAAATAGCAAGAAAGTCCAAGTTCGAGAGGCAGCACGGTGGATTTAATGTACACCAAATTGTCTAAAACTTTGATAGTTCCTGAAACATTACACAAACTTACAGCCTATGATAATGAATTAAGATTGAAGCCGTCGTCCATTTTTGTGCGCAATACGTACTTGTTTTAGGTGGTGTTTGAAAATAACTCTTCCTACATTTCAATACAAAATTTTTCATTCAATTATTTCCAGTGTTAAGGTGTTCAAGAGACCTTAAAATACCTTATATCAACACAAGTTTTGCAAAATGCAAAATTTTAAGTTTATGGACATTTCAACAATTGTCTGATTTTTTTATACACCCTGTATATTACAATTTTGTAACTCCACACCAAAGATCTTTGGCGTATGCCAAACTCTATCAATGCACCAACATTATTTGGCCTGAGCAAAAAGGAAATTTAAACTTGCAATTAAGTGCTTTGGAATGCCAGAAACAACCTTTCAACCTCCCACGCTTATCAAACTATGCTTTTTTAGCACATTTTTTTGTTAATGGACACTTTCTTGTAATTTACAGTCCATTTCATGTGCCTTGAACTACATAAAGAAATTCACCAAGTTATATGTTCATATCCATGGCAATGCAATGATTGTAAATCATGTGAAGTATGCAAAAGTGATAAAAATGAGGTAGATGTGTAATAGATCATCTATTCAGTTTATAGTATTCTGAATTTTCATTGCTTGATCAATTTACTTATCAATGTTTGGGTTTATGCAAATAATAATCTGAGCATGCACATTTGTTAAAAGGGTTGCTTAGCTGCATTTAATAATACTGTTGGCATGTTCATTGATGTCCATTTTTTCAAAGCAATGTGGTGGCTTCTGTGGCTATATGATTTTTCAAGCATGTTTTATGAAACATAAACACTGAAATTTCTAAACAAATGAAACACAGCCATCAATGTTTTTTTTGCCAATATTTTGAAGCAATTCAACAACTGTAAAGACTCTATACCTACCTGAAAAATGTTCCTGCAAAAATGCTTTGAAAGCTTTAGCCATTACCAAAATCCATTATTGCAGATAAATTATTTGCCTCACATACAGTATAAGTATTAAAATAATTGATCTGTTTGCCAATGATAATTAAATCAAAATATTTTGCTTGACCTTGTCCACTAGTTGATCTTATCCTTGCTAGTAATTCTTGCATTTTGCACATCTTGCAATATATAATTCCACTGTGGACCACACATTGGGTTTAAGAAAACATATGTATTACGCTTGATTTTAGAAAAAGCTTCTGTGCTGTGATGGATGTGACAAAAGTTATCATACATTTTGTTTAAAGCCACAATTGGATAAACCTCCAAAAGGTATGTACGTACATAATTGACTGTGTATAGTATAATTTCAGACCATTGGTCCTCCAATTTGAGAGCTAAAAATTTAAGACATACGGTCTTCCAGCTGTCATTCAAATGTGCATTTTCTTCCGAAACTTTCATTGACAGAGGAATGGATATGTCCAAAATGCAATTTGGCTGAGAAAAAAGAATCCATCAAGAATTCGCCTAAGGCTAATAAGTCGCCGTATCGAACTTCACAATCTACTCCTACTAGACCACTAAGTTTAAAAGGACCATTCACGAAATCGCCACCAAAACACGGTAGTAATTCACACAGTTCACCGAATCAAATAAATGCTGCACGCCTTGGAAAGCGACAGATATTTGGAAGTCCTGGCAAATCTGGTAGAGATGGCGGTGATTTGGTTGACATATGGGAGTTCAGAGACGATACATCCGAAGGAGAGAAGAAGCTTAAAAGAAAACTCTCCGAGGAATGTTCCACTTCGCCTAAAAAGAAATCAACAAAAAACGAGAGCAACATTCGCCAAGAGAAAACAAAAACCACACCAAAAACAGGTACTTATAACTTGTCTTTTACAAATAACATATAAACTGTATAGGATGAAAATGGGTTACACTATACAATTCACTTACAAGAACAACATCAAAAGAATGTTTCACAAATATGCTTTTCTGCCTAAGAAACCGGTAAATTTTATTTTACCATATATAGGCGAAAAGGGGAGAAAACATTATAATTTTCATAGAACTTGCCCGACGCCGGGATGCGATGGATCGGGTCATGCTACTGGTGTACTTTTGTCGCATCACACGCCATCGGGATGTCCTATACTTCGTTCGAAGAAGAAAAAACGACAGGTTTGTTACTGATAATCAGGGCCATGGCGAAGGAGGGTACTGGGTGTGTCGGACTCTTCCCAAGTTCGTTGTCAAGCATAATATTCGAAAACTTCTTCGGATAAAATTTTAGCTACTTTGATTCACCATTGAACGACTCAAAATAACTTTTTAAGTTATTTTCAGTGGAGAGTTCTTTTAGTTTAATAGTGTACCCGTATAGTCATCAGGTTTAAAGACATTTCTGATAATTCCCTTGCGGCTTGATTTTAGATCTTCCTTTCCAGCAACATACGATCCGCTTTTTTCTTTTTATCAAAAAATTTCTCATCATCGCCACTTTCATGCGATTCCTGCTGATTAGTTCACTGTTATATATAGCTAAGTCCTGCATGAGTGGAGTTTTTGCTTTTATCGTGTCCTTTTCACAACTTGTGCAATTCTGAATCATTTTGTCTGAGAACAACAAAGTTATGTATGTCTTTATCATTTTAGCGAAGAGAGGAGAAGAGTTCGCCAAAGAAATTCCAAAAACATTCCAAATCTCCTACAAGACGAAGCCAAAGGAAGCCGGTAGGAAGTTTCAGAGATTTATATTATTAATGTAAATTTATATTATTACATTTATATTATTAACTCTTTTCATATGGTTGAAACGGTTAAAGCCTGGATTTGAAATTTTAAAATGATTTTTTCTAATATTCCAATGCGGTTAAAGCATAATGTCCCAACTAACTATAAGCTAGGAGTCGCTTAAGATTTAGAACTCATTTTAAAATATGTTTAACTGCTGCTGTAGTGTGATGTTACTGATTGAAATATTAGATCTTGTGCTAGACACGTACTACTGCAAATTTTCTCAACATCTATGCTGTGAAAATATGCTTTACCCAGATTGTTTCCATACTATATCCATATATGAAATAGCATTTATAGTATGAATATTATAAACTTCCATACTATTTCCAACTAGCATCCATACTATTGTCACCTCATAAGCGCTATAGTTACGAACGTACTAACTATGCCCGTTAACAATTGTGAGGACTCGCAGGAGAATCTGTGTGTCTCAAAACATTACGATTTTGCGCTCGGTTTGGTCAAGTTGATTTTGGAAAATTATATACTAAAGATAGCTCATCCGTTGTTTTTTTCGCCCAGGACTATGCTGCATACTTATAGTGTGTTGTCCTTATGAAAGTGACACTTTTTTTCTTTTGGTAGATTCCAGCTTCGAACGAATTTCATCTAACCCATTCGCTTAAAGTGAGCGTACCATCTTTATCCAAGTTACAAACTAAAAGCTGCCGAGAGAGACATGAAAATAAACCCCGTGTCGAGAATTCGAAGACTGCAACGTGTGAAACAAAGACACCGGTGACAAGGACTCCTATCTCAGCCGCTAATTACAACAAATCATCGTTTAGCAAAGAGGAAGAAGAGCATTTGAAAGAACTAGTGACTGAATACGACTTTAATATGTTCATGAGAGCCAAAGAGAAGGCTGCAAAGATGGTGGTAAGATTTGCATCCAATAACATTTACATTTTTAAACAGTTTAGGTGATCCATACATGACATCGTTTCTCCACCATGCAGCTCAGCAAATACGACTTGCTACGGTAAACGTCTGGTCAGGTTTTTCCGAATTTCCCTTTGCATTTATGTATCAGTGTACGTGTGTTATATTTCCAAATCTAACCTTCAATTATACTTACTATTTCACCGTCGATGTCATTATAACGAATATTGTTTCCGAATATTGAAACAATATTTCAGTAATGAATATTGTTTCTTTGACCATACAGTGTATTTTAAAAATCATTTGTGTGAGACCACTCCATTTACTGAAACCCGTCTTTAAATGAAAAGACGGAGCAGTCAAGCTAAAATTTGTAAAAGTTTTTTTTACTCCAAGCCTTGCTCTTACAGACGTTCTGCAGGTTTTCGAGACACCGAAGTCGTTAACCTCGACAAATTTCTGGTGGATTATCAAATTTAGTAAAATAATTTTTCAAAGGACAACTGGTTAGACACATTTTCTTTTCCTCTGTCAGGGAACCTTTGAACCAACCAGCACAAGTTGTAATGTACGTCGTATTGAATTCGGTATATACGATATCGATGCCTGGTACTCATCTCCCTATCCGCAGGAGTATTTCCATCTTCCGAAAGTTTATGTGTGCGAATTTTGTCTGAAGTACATGAAAAGTTTGACCATCTCAAGAAGACACATGGTAAGTGTTATTATGCTGTTATATCTGTAAACTGCTTCCGCGTCTTCGCGACCTTAATTCCTTTCATTAATCTGCCCTAGTCCGCGTTGTCGGTGTACCATCGTCGTACACATGCTTGCTTGCACTCGTGCGTGGAAATATTTGGGTGTGATGATGTCACTGAACAAAATAATTGTTGGTCCACTTGGTATTTTACCGCAACTTCTTTAAATATTTTGGTTGAACTGACGCATGAACAACAAGTTTCAAAGTTAAAAGCTTACAACGTTCTTTGTGATATAACGATTTCCATATATTCGGTTAACCTCTATATCGAAACATGCTAAGGAAATTGAAGGCCCTCTAGAGTTGACAGTTGATACTTGTACAATCATTTCTGCTGTTAGCGCGCCCGGGAATTAACACACACCAAACATGTTTTCATTTTTTTATGAAGGCAAAGTGTACGTGGCGTTACCCGCCAGGGGATGAAATCTATCGCAAAGGGAATATTTCTTTCTTCGAAGTTGACGGCAAGAAAGAAAAGGTAGCCATTTGGTGGACGCCACGCGGCCCACGCCATATATAGTCGTTACACATATTTTATTGGCATTCTTTCAGACCTATTGTCAAAACCTCTGCTTGCTGGCTAAACTTTTTTTGGACCATAAAACCCTCTATTACGACGTGGAACCTTTTCTGTTTTACATTCTGACGCAACGTGATAACACAGGATGCCATTTAGTTGGATATTTTTCAAAGGTAAAATGACGTTTTATTTCCGAACCCGCCTTCGATCGCCTTCGTTGTTTATAATAGCGCGTTCTTATGCTATTTTAGGAGAAAAAGTCCCGTCTGAACTACAACGTTTCCTGCATATTATGCCTCCCACCGTATATGCGACGTGGGTTTGGAAAAATGTTGGTCGCGTTCAGTAAGTGCAAAAATGCATGTTGTTATATAGGTGCTGTGTATTTTAAATGTGATTGGTTCATTCGTAGTCACATGATTTTAAATAAATGCGGAAAACAAGTGAAAAATTTAAAAGTTTAAATAAAATTGTTGTGTAACATGCATGTTTTTTTCTTATCTAACAAAACACTTATTGTACACACATTCAGACTCAAAGCTCACTCAAAGCCCACTCTTTCCCTCGGGAGCATATATTAAGTGTATATTGTTACTTGTGAGCATCAGGGGATATTACATATATGCATGTTGTCTTTACCAGCATCTTGGTTTTCCAGAATTATTAGATGATGTAAAAAAAACGTAAAAGGATCGTAAGTAATCACCGGGGAAGAATATAAGTTAAATATTCCAATCGCTTTTATCCATATATCATATATAGAACGATTGCCAATTCCTGAGAAACAAGATAGAAAATAATTCTGTTGATAGTCAAAATAATATTTTAAAAAACGGTTTGAGAATATAACATGGATATAAATTCACCAGAATTTTCTGTCCTGCCTGTGTTTTAATAGTTTTTAATCTTTTGTATGCCTTATAAGAATTGCTTTTCGGAGTTTGCTTCTTTCTATACTTCGTTAAAAATTGTCTCGTGATATAAATGATTTTATACCACCTCAGTTGAATTAATTACTATTTGTGGCACTTCACTCGATGTAGGTAAATTCTAAAGGTTTTTAAAGGGTCTTAATTTCGAGTGGAATTATACACGTCTGATATTATTTGCTTTCCGTTTAAGGTTACTTATTGTCGCGAACTGAGTGTAAAACAGGCTCTCCTGAGAGACCTTTATCAGATCTTGGTCTGATAAGTTACAGAAGTTATTGGACCGAGATAGTCCTTGGATTCCTGAACGATAACAATGATGACGCTGTCTCTATAAAAGGTATGAGCATATTCCCTCCCTAGACGCAAAAATCCGCCAAATTTAATCGGCGCGGAATTATTCCGGCCCTTTTTTTTTTTAGGATAATTTTTCACATTTATCTCTGCAATCCCAACGGATTTTTTTAAAAAATTTTTCACCAGACTTAGCCCAGCCTTTCCACTTAGTCTACGGGTGTTTGTTCTCCTTTTAGACATTAGTGCACTGACAGGAATTAACACCGCTGATCTTATCAGTACTTTGCAATATCTGGGAATGCTCAAGTATTGGAAAGGCAGCCATATTATTTTGAAACGTGAAGTATGTCGTACTTGTGTGCATCCATTTTTTATATACTTAATATAGTCGGTCTATAGCTGTAAACTTAATAGAGGGCTCACGATTTATGACGCAGGCAGCTCGATGAAGCGCATGCATATATATGCGAAGAAATGTATATTGATATTTGCGCAATATAAATTAATAAATTATTATTATTATTATTAAATTATGAAATGTCCATCGTGCAATGCACGTCAAAAGGTATGCAACCCTACGACCGGGTTGCTATTTTTTGTTGCTAAAAAGGCAATTTCACAGCTTCTCGTGCACTGATATGGAAAGCAGCTGAATCGTGATAGCGGTTTAACCACGCAAATGGAACGGCAATATCAGGTTGAAAGCGAAGATTCTCTGCAACATTGAAACGGTTGTAAGGATTATTGAAACGTGCTTCAGAAAGCATGTTGATTAATTTCACATCGCTTTTTAAATATATGTAAAAATCAGAATTCTTAGGCCCTGCGTATTTACACTATATACTGGATTCGCAATGTCACATGTCAAACGACGTTTTACGCGCCAAAAGTATGATTGCATGTTTGCTATATTGGTGGTTGTAAAATTGTACAAATTTTACAAATTACTATTTGTAAAATTATTATATAAATACGCGCTTACCTACCATTCGGCTGTTACGATTTTTGTATTTTCCGTTTTGAGATCTAAAATCAATATATTAAAAAAACTCCACGTTTTAGGAATTTCATGAATCAAAAGATTTTATGCATGGAAGAAAATAGGCGTAGAAAAGTATGAACCTTGTTTTGTAATGAAACGTAAAATGGTACCGGTAAACCCTTCATGTAATAATGTCATTCTCGTGATACTCTTTTATCATCTAACAGGAAACCTAGCTCTGTTGAAAAACTTTTATCTTGTATATCATGCATTTTGACATGTATCCAAAGATGTACGGATCTACTTATAGTTGTTTGCTATATGAAGCGTTTTTTTCGCAAAGCGAATTTACTATGGTTACTGTACAGTTGTTCGAAATGGTTGCTCCGTGGGGAAGTATCGTCTGTGGAAAACTGATTTTTAGTATTATTCATCTCTTACATATAGGACATTCTTAAGGAATATCAAGACAAAATAAGAAATCGTCCGCCAAATTATGGCGCAGTTGATCCAAACTGCCTGAAATGGACACCGCCTGACCAGAGGGAGGAAAAATCGTGAGGGAAACAAAAACTCTTCTCTTACATGAAGACGAAATGTTGATGATAGAAAGGCTTCTCTGATTATGCGTAAAGCATCGTGACAACGGAGACAAAAACAAACTTCTCCGATTGACGGGATAATTTGAGAACAAATAAACATTTTGCCGTGTTAAAATTTACGGGTATATGTGTTCAAGGTAGATGCAAGCCAAAGTAGGGAGAGATCCCTGGCTTTGGGGGGAGGACGCGTTTAAGGAGCGTCTGGCGACATTCCAAGCGGCAAAATTTACATTTTTAGGCTTCTAAATATTCTGAAAAGTAGAGGTTCCGTGCTGGAGGTTTGGGCATGATCTGGCAAACCTCCAGGTTTGTTGTGGGTAGCCCGTTTGCGGGCTAACCACTATGCTACACGCAAAAAACGATGAGCGATGATGCATGTCTGTCCGCCGGGTTTGTTTATCTACGAAAGAGACTGGGCACAGCCGAAATTTTGTCAGTCTGATCGGTGTAAACTGGCTTCAACTTTCAGATAAATTAATCGCAGAAATGGTATTTCATTGGTATTTCATTGATTATTCTTATGTCTACTTTGTTATAACTGAATCCAACTAGCAAACTAGCCCATTTTTGCCTTTGCGTATAGCATTAGAACGTAAAACTAAGCATCATGCAGTTGATTTCCACGCCATTATTGCGGCCTGTCATTTGACATCGAACAACACTTGAAAATCTTTGCCAATGCTTTGGAGGCTACCCACATGTATGCATTGCATACCTATTTTTTTTTCTTGTAATTAATAAAATGAGTGATGAATGAAGATTTTACCAAAATTTGACGATCAGCCAGGGCGAAATCTTCAAACATCAGGACTACTGTTGATTCCTACCTGTACGAGCAACGTCACAAGATTATTTGAGTTTGTTGTCAGGCAACCAATTTAGGCAACCTCGTACCGAGAGCATTTTGACGTCGTCCTAAATGTGCAGACTAGTCCCTAGTCCTCCTTAGCGTGCCTTGCATTCTTGTGACGTCACCGGTTTGAACGCGCGGGAGGGGACCAGAGGACTAGCACAAAATGTCAGTAATAATTCTTAATTCACAATGGCTGTAAGAAAATTTTTCTGAAGCAATACTAATCTCAAAATATTTGCATCAGGAAGCTTTCGTCCAATTGGATAATGCTTTTCTATGGCTTTCTAAAGAACGAAGCTATGCTATTGGTTAAAACAGAATTTATTGTAAAGTTCAGCCAATGAAAATCATTTTTGCGAGGAGCTGCGACACTACCCCAAATTTTTGAAATCTCAACATTTTGTGCTAGGAGCCTAAGCCTCTCAGCGCGGGCTTATTCGCGGGCTACCCTACATAATTAACAACGCGCGTTTACAAGGCCTGGGACTAGGCTGTCCTAAATGTGGAGGTAAAATTCCCTGGGTACGAGGTTGATTGTTCTACGAGGCAGGTTTTCTAGGGATATTTTAGGGCATAATTTTCTCGCAAATTACCTAACCCTACCTGTACCCCCTGAATTTGCAGGGGTAAATGTACGTGAGGTCAATCTCAGTAATCGGCTAAACTCGTAGCCAAAGCCTTCAGGGAAGGAGCACGCGCGCGATGTCGAACGTGACGACAAAAAACAAGAATGGTTTGGCATTGTCGCCCAACTTTGAAGATGGCGACCAAGTTATCGTTTCATTTCATAGAGTTCACTAGTTTGCTACTGTAAGAACTAGTGCTGTTTGCGGTATGGATAATGCGATACAAGGATTCAGTAATTTTTATTGTGTTACGAAATTCCGTTAATTTCGAATTAATGTAATTTTCACGCTAACAGAATACCAACCTATTTACTATTTATTTTGTGTTTATTGTTCCTTAAGACACTAAATTATTCAAAAAATCTAAAAGGGCGGTCAAGTCCAAGTGTAAGGAATGGAGAGTTACATGGGCTTGCTTGCATATCAATTTTCAAACACGTGTTAATCCAATACTGATTTTGAGAAATATGATGTACCTATGGCTATGAACATCACTTGGGTTTTCAAAGTACTTTAAAAAAATAGAATATTGAGAAGGACTGAAACAATGCGAAACTCGGTGTCATTTGCAGAAGACTTCTGCCCTCAAATGTCAGTAAAATCACCAACAATTAGCATGAAGGAAGGAATTTCCTCGCAGTCGGTGGCAAGCATGAATGCATAGGACTGCCAACGAAAATTTAACAGAATTGGCACCTATAGTTTTCATTTTTAGTTGTTTTAGTTAGTTGTTTTAGTTAACTGTAGTTTGCAGTTTACAAGTATACAACTAATTCAATGACAGTTGCTTTACAAATCACCAAACCCTAAACTCTGAGCGTGCTGGAGAGATGATGGATTATTGCTTCTTTGACTTGGAGGTATGGGAACTCACAACAGAAAACCCACATGCTTCGAGGGCGATTTAGACTATGTGCACACGGTGACGTTTTCGAGGGTTTTAATCCTCGTTTTTATGCTAAAACGGTCTCAACTGCCCAGCCTCCTCCGCAGGCCTTGGTTGCCTCATTGGAAGCTTACCATTTTGAGAGCCAGCGTGTTTGTAACCCTCCCATGAGACAACGAGGGCCTGCGGAGAAGACAGTCAAACACCGTCAATTTACAATAGAAGTTGAAGGTAATTTAACATATTATCCTCTTGGATCTTGTGGACAGGAGTCCACTCAAAACGTTAAAATAGACAAAAACGATTTTGAAAACGCTGGGAAACAACGCTCGTGTGCACACAGCCTTAGTGACTTTAGGGATCTGACTAGGTAACACCCGTCATCCCTTGCGTGCTTAGAGTTCAAGCTTTAGGGTATTGAAAGAAAAACCTTATAAATGAATGAGCTATATATAAAAATGTAGATCGGTTCAAAAATAGCGTGATACAATAGTATTTTAGTCCAGCACCATCTCGCCGTTCAATTTATCCGAATGGCATGTAATTTTAGCCCTTTTTGGCAAAGTATACATTGTCATTGATCGCAAAATAACTCGAACGGAAGACAACAGCTTCCGGAAACGTAAGTACCGATGGAAACATTGGAAATTTGAAACATTTGAAATATGTAACAGAAATATGTGTAGCATAGGCGCCATTGTACTTTTTGCTGATTTGCATGCATGAAGAAAAGACCCTTTAACACGATGTGAGCGGCACATGTGCCAATAGATTCGATTTTTTGAAAATTTAACAATCTCATAGGAAATATTTTACACTGTCACTGGTCCACTGATCTCGCAAGAAAAGACTATTACAAAAGTTGCAGTTTGATAATTTGTCGAGAAAGTGATCCCGTGCTTCGTTTGTAGCTGTCCACAACTCGAATATTGCACAGCGTTCTACTGTACAAAATCTGGTTTATATCCTTATATGCAAATGTTTTAAAGAGACCACATATCTTCGCCACTTGAACCGCTGATCTCTTCGAAATTCTCGTAAACTGCAACATTTAAAAACTATTTAATTTGCTCCGAAGAACTGATATTGTCAACTTACAGATAGAATCGATGGATTAAATATTATTTTCTTTTTTTGGTTGAGCCGAAAGTCTTTGTTTTAGCGTCTCGTTTTCTTGTTTGAGAGTTTCCCTTTCCCCTTTGAGTCTTTGATTCTCACTAGTTAATTGCTGGATTGTCTGTTTTAATTTTTTCACATCTGCATTGACGTCTTGTAGAAGGTCAGTTTTTATTTGTACAACTTGATTCTACAAAATGTTTAAAAAAGGAAGATGATTTGACAAAGGACACAGGTAAAATTCCTTACACAATACTCTGGTTGCATGGAGAAAATCCTTAATCTTGAGCTGCTCCATAATCCATATCCACTTTAGTAATATTGATTCGTCATGTAAAGTCAACTGATATGACTGTATCACGCATATACTATGAAGCCAATGGCGACCATGTTTTAAATGGTCACATTTAAATTCACAACGTATTGCACACTACATATTTACAACATAGCCTAGCCAATTTCAAAAAGGGGAGCCATATTTCATAGACCATTCGGTCAGTGGGAGGCAAATTTGAGGGTGGGCAAATTTTCCAACAACTTTAGGGTAACGCTGGTACACAAATGTTAGTATTAAAAATGCTCGTATTATTGGGCAATGTAAAAAAGGCGAATCCTATTATCAACTATCCTAATACTAAATCTTATTTTCTGACAAATCAATCAATATTTAAGAGCTGTTTGTATGGTCACGCTTGCGGGGATAAAATTCTAACCAAAGAGACTTGCGAAGCCAGCAGAGACACAATCTAAGATGCTGTTCATCAGCAGGATAATAACGTACTACTCCTGAGAATCATTTTCTTAAAAAGTTGTTAAATTATCCCCGGTAGGCGAGATCACATCAAGAGGCCCTGAGACAAAAAGTTTTCCATGAAAATGGCATATTTTTAATAAGCAAAATAGTTGGGCGAGTTAAAAGAGTCTGTTGTTTCTTGGAATAACAACAACATAAAAAATTAGATGAAAAGATTAAAGGCTATAAATATAATATGACACGAGATAATAGTGTAAATATGTACTACCTACTGTATAAGAATATATATCTAATAAAACATTTACATACCATAGCCTTTTTAATTTTTTCTGCAACTATTTCATCTTCAGAGAGTAACCTTTGGGAACAATTAAACATTTATTAGATTTTGAAGTCTTAGCACAATTGTCAAACTGTCTCATGGACAATTGTAGCTGGACTTTACTTGAACCTTTTAGTACTAAAAGAAATAGTATAAATGGTAGTTCAATTAAAACTGCCACCCCAACTTGAAGACTTAAACTTTTCCTGACATTTAAAAGCTTTCAATGTTGTTAAAAAATTGTGTGGAGGTTTACCAAATGTTTATGTGCAACTAAGTCATTCATTATGCCAACTGTTCACTTCAAAGTTGTTGATTGTGTGGTCATGTAGTATATATTTGCTATGAGATTTTAAAGTGGGTACAGGATGATTACAAAATGGATTTAGATTTTCAGGGCATATAACAGACCAAGCAGTTGTTATTAAAGCCATTACCCTTGATTTCAAATTGCATACAAAGTGACCAGAAATGTTTATTTGCCACTCCAAAGATGTGGATGATGAAGCTTCCAATACAAAAGTTCTGATTCACTTATTATTGTGTCATCATAGAACAATGGAACAAACTGGATGAGCTCAGTACTTGGCAATGAACATACCAACAAATGCTCTAAGTAATGTTTGAAATGCAAATTGAAATCAAGAGTAATGATGTGCCCACAATAGAAGATAAGATTACAGTTGCAACCACAGTGTCCAATGCTAATGGATAAACTATTAAACTTGCAGACCACATGCAAAGCCTAGACAAGAGCACAAAAATAGATACCACATCTGTCATTGTTGCAAGGTCATTTTAGATAGGCAGTTACAATGGTCTTACTGTAGCCAGTTGTTGTTGCTCTTTAATTATATTGTTTTTAAATTAAAGGTTGGCAGTAGACCTTCAAAGTGACCAATCTCTAGAACGCCTAGGCTTATGCTTTAAACTTTAGTATGCTACTCAAACTGCATAACCATACGCAACTGGTTGTAGACAGCCTTGATATCAATTTCCACCAGATTGCATTTTTTTTCAACATAGTAAAAATGCTTGAAAGGCAATGAAAGTGAACAAATGAAGGGAAACTGTAAGACTCAGGTTTAATTTATAAAAATAGGTTAGACCAAAGTATGGACAATTTTAAACAGTTCTAAAAACACTATCTAATGGATACTGCTATGACAATCTCAACTATTTCAAGAATGATTACTTTTTAATTGCAAGTATAACAAATAAATTCAGAAAAAAAGTAGCAGATTATCATTTGTGAGAACAACAGTAAAGATAAAATAATGCTGTCTCTATGAACAATTTGTCAGGCATGAGAGAAGTTTGTACGCAGGATATGATATCTGGTTTATCTGGTTATAAGGTTTCTTGACAAATGCAAGCAAATGTTACTTTCTATTGAATAAACCAAACTAGTGTTCAATGTCATTGCAAAGCAAATAGTCCCATTTTTCTTGCATGCACTTCTGC